TTCTCAAAGCTCAGCCGAGCTGTCGACTTTCGTCGTATTATGAGACTTACTCCGGCCTACTTAGGCCATATGGTCCGCGTCTGCAATACGCGGCTTACTTTCGAAGACATCGTCGAAAGCTCTCTCTCGCGACTTGCGTCGATCCTCCGCAAAGACATACAGGAAATTAGCAACGAATATGCCCTCCGTAGCTATGTCACGTTCCTCGCGAATGAGCCGGATAAATCGGATATTGCTTATGGCGGGTGCTTCAACCCGCAGACGGACTTCTCCTGTTCCTCTATTGCGCATGTTAAGGCTCCTGACTTCGGGCCGCTAGGGAAGCCTGGACTTATGAGGAGACCGACATTCCAACCTTTGCCTTGCTCGTCGTACATTGCTCCGATGTTACATGGAGAGGGTATGGAGGGCCTGTTTTGTTTGCACGAGAGTGACATTGAGGCTCTGGCGGAGGATGAAATGTGGAAGGAATTCGTTGAGTATATTGGGTAGGCTTTGGTTATGCGGTCATTGCGATGCCTCATGATAATTATTTCTATTTCTACTGCATTTGACTGGGTTTAGTTTATCACAGTATGCACTTCATGTTGGATACAAGACGTCATTCCATGCTGTTTGTTTGTATTCTTGGCATTCCTTACGTCAATCCATGAACCCTAATTTCATTCGATGTTCCGTGGAGATCCTCTGCTGGCCCCGTCAATACATTCGTTATAGGGATGATTAGCACTTTTCTCAAGCCATTGCTTTGTAGAGAAGATTGTCTTTACCAAGCCTACCACAGTGTATCGTCCTGCAGGCTCACGACACGCCCCAAGACAGAACCAATCAGCTACCATCACTTTGCGATATCCTATTGCGGATCAAGAAATCAAGTTTGAAACCTGGAACTGCCTAACAGGATAAATAAGAATATAGACAAACTAAAGTGAGATGTTCAGCCCAACGCTATTATTGAGCCTACTGGCTACGTTCCTCCTTACCACTGCCGCCGTAGGTGGACGGGATCCGACGGAGGGAATCGTCAATCTTGTCCGAAGGAGACTACCAGATCATGTCGACAAGTTCTTGTTCTCCTTGAACGGTTCATCACTGAACTTTACCACCGGACGCTACCATCAAGATGTGTACACTGTGTCGACACAGGCCAATGGCTCAATTCATGTGGAAGGGAATTCTCGAAGCGCGCTTGCCGCAGGGTATCTCCAACTGAATCCCACAATCTTATCATGCAACGTCCTGCTAACGAACTGACAGTCTACATCGATACCTTAGTGAGATCACGCATGTGGGTATCTATTGGTTTGTTGGTAGTCGACTACATGCTGTGCCGGCATCTCTTCCCAAACTCGATGTGCCGCTGACAGGCGAAAGTATTGTCACATGGCGGTACCATCTCAATCCAGGTAAGCATCTCTTTGTCCAGGGCCCTGTCCGACTTTGATTGAACTTGATAGCACGACTTATTACTCATACACGCACGGTGCAGTGACTTTCTCATACACCACTGCCTTCTGGATGTGGGAAGACTGGGAACTAGAACTCGATTGGGCCGCCCTGAGAGGCGTAAATCTAATCCTCGCCTGGGTCGGCTACGAGAAGGTTCTTCTCGACTCGCTTCGAGACCTCGGAATGGCTGACGAGGAGATACTACCATTCTTCAGCGGCCCTGCCTTCCAAGCATGGAATCGACTGGGGAACATCCAAGGCTCCTGGGGCGGCCACAACGTCAGCATATCATGGCTCGAGGCGCAATTCGAGCTACAGAAGAAAATCGTCAACCGAATCGTTGAACTAGGCATGACACCCGTACTTCCCGCTTTTCCTGGGTTTGTACCACCCGCTATAAAGCGGGTTCGACCGCATGCGACCGTGGTGAATGGGTCGCAGTGGTCAGGTTTTGCGACGAAGTTTACCGGAGTGTCCTTCTTGAGTCCGCTTGATGAGACCTTTGCCGAGTTACAGAAGAGTGTGATCTCAAGGCAAATGCGTGCCTTTGGGAATGTCACGCATGTCTATGCGCTCGATCAGTTTAATGAGGTTGATCCTGCGTCTGGGGAGCCAGGGTACCTTCGGAACTTTTCACTGCATACCTGGCGGAGTTTGAAAGCTGTCAATCCGGCTGCCGTATGGATGATGCAGGGGTGGTTGTTCTATGATAAGAAGGACTTTTGGAATTCCAGCCGAATCTCAGCCTACTTGAGCGGGGTGGAGAGGAATGATGATATGCTCATCCTAGACCTATACTCGGAGTCGAAGCCGCAGTGGCAACGGACAAGGTCCTATTTCGGGAAGCCGTGGATCTGGTGCCAGTTGCACGACTTTGGTGGAAATATCGGTTTGTACGGGCAAGTCATGAATATCACGGCGGGTCCTATCCACGCGTTAAATCAATCCCAGTCGCTTGTGGGATTCGGGCTCACCATGGAAGGCCAGGAAGGGAATGAAGTTGTGTATGATTTGCTGTTAGACCAGGCCTGGTTGGCGAAACCGATTGATACACGAGCATATTTTCGAAACTGGGTCAGCAGCCGGTATGCCGGAAACTTTTCAGTGCCAAAGGAGTTGTATACAGCGTGGGACCTAATGCGGACGACGGTCTATAATAATACAAATCTCACGACATACTCTGTGACGAAGTCCATTTTTGTGCTTTCACCGGATATCGACGGCTTGGTTGGCCGTGTTGGTCATTATCCTACCCCTACATCTATTAATTACGATCCAACTGTCTTAAATGAAGTATGGTCTTTATTTATGAGTGCGACCAAAAACAATCCATCACTCTGGCAAAACCCGGCATATGAATATGATATGGTCGATATCACGCGCCAGCTAATGGGAAATGCTTTTGTCAAGTTCTATTCAGATCTTATAAGTTCATGGAAGTCGGGAACAGAAAACAGCGTGACGGACATCACCTCGCAGAGCCAAAGGCTTCTCGACCTTCTATCGGCTATTGACAAAGTCTTGTCTTGCAATGAGAACTTCTCCCTTGCAAAGTGGATCTCAAGCGCCAGACATTGGGGAAACACCACGGCAAAAAAGGATTTCTTCGAGTACAGTGCCCGGAATCAGATTACTCTATGGGGTCCTACCGGAGAGATCAGCGATTATGCGTCCAAGGCCTGGTCAGGTCTTATCTCCTCTTACTATCTGCCTCGATGGTCTATCTTCGCGGCCTATCTTGTTGAGAGGGACCAGACTAGCTATAACGGTACGGAACTACAGGAAAGGTTAAGGGTGTTTGAGTTGTCATGGCAAGGGCAGAGTGGGGAGCCAGGTATATCTTCGCCAAATTCCTCGTGTAGAGGACTTGAACTAGTCCTCAGGAATGTGTCGCAAAGTTGGCCGTCAATATTTGGAGATCATGTTCGACAATGAAGAAACATATTCAAGAATCACTCTATCATCGGGAGTCACCGTCCTCCACGTCGTCTACCAGGTCCCGCATAAACGTTTCCCGAACATCGAGCAAGTCGCATGCCTCTATCATACATTAGGATACATAAGGTTCGTATACAAAGGATCGCAAGGAGCTACCACTGCAATGACAGGATGTATCATGATAAAATGAAGATACAATAGACCTCAAGCCAAAAGGTTGTGCCAAATTGCAAGACTTCATTCATAAGCTTGCGTAGAAGACATTGAGTTCTATTCAGCATTATCGATGCCCTGTTTCGGTAGCAGCAGGGAGTGGCAACCACAAAGCGGTGGGTGGCTTGTACATCGAAAGGCCATGCTCCTTTCCACTAGAGCACTAGATGGGGCTTTCCACTCTTCCTCTTTGGTTGACTTGTAACATAATCGTCTTGGGTTAGGAAATACCGTCACGAAAGTCTCATGGAAGGTCGCCTTCGCCACCATGGTCTTGTTCCAGTCGGAAGGCCAAAGAGAACTGGAGTCGACGCACTGTCGTCCTACTATGTGTAACCACTTTTTCGACTGCATATTCCTGCAGAGGTGCTTCCGCTATTGCTGTACGCCGTTTCACAGGTTGCACTTTACCACCAACCAGTTCGGAGAAAGATGTTCGATGCACACCTTCTATGCTGGTTCCCATTGCGCATCGCCCTGGAGAAGATTATCGGGTGATCTACGCGGACGGGCGGGAGGGCCGAAAGGTTAAACCAGCCCGATGGCCCGGTTATGTCCTATTGGCTGAAACATGCCCCTGGTTGCACGTGTGCATGGGGTATTTTGGCTGGTTATGTTATAGATCACATAGCCGTATATTGATGTATGAGTCATTTTCCTTTCGCTGTTCGTATTGAAATGAGGGGAAGATGCCGGCAACCGAGGGCCCATCCCTTCGGATGTCTGCGTGATTTATACATAGGTGGCGATGTAAGGATACGGGTGGCCAATGCGGGACAAGTGGCAAGTTGTTTGATGAAATAGGGTGCTCATGGAGGGTACTGTATATGGCTGAGCAGGTCGTTCTGTTCTGGACTTGGGTTGACGTTGGACAGGTTGTTACCTTCTTCGAATGAAGTGAAACTTCCCGCGACATTGATCCATTGTGGCAAATGAGCAGACGGTGTAGCAACCAGTTTGAGATGCGGGTACACAACGTATGTCTGTATGGCCGACGCTCTATTGTTAGTCGCGGGATATAGGATGGACGATGAAAGAGTTGATCATAATGCCAAGTTGAGATCGAAAATGACTAAGGGAAGCCATGATATCAAACCCTCTCATTAACCTGCAGTTCATCCCTCAGGGGTCTAAGCTTATGCACCTTCGATGGGTTCAATACGCCGTAGATTTACGCCGAGACAATCAAATGATGCCCTCAATAGCTAGGTCTTGTAGCGTAGCAGTCTGACGCCCAGACCCCCATAGCTAGTCAGCGCATGGAATGTCCAGTTGCTTCAGCTAACCTATCCAGAATGTAAAGCTCAATCCATACCAACATAGCACACTGAGTCCCTCTTCTCCTAGTAGAGACTAAGAATAGACGACCCTTCAACTAAAAGAACAATCCATCAAGCAATATGCTCACCAGCATCCTATCGCGCCTACGCCCATCATGGCTCCCTCCGTTCCAAACAAACCCAACCCCAACAACCAGCCAGGATCCCGAAGCCCCACCCCTCGACATCGAAGATGAGCCCCTCGAAGTAGCCATCATAGGCTGCGGCATCATCGGAGCAATCCTTGCCCTCGGCCTCCTGGCCAAAAATATCAAGGTAACAGTGTACGAGCAAGCCCGGAGTCCCCCTGAGACCGGCGCAGGAATCGCCTTCACGGCCAATGCCCGACGGTGCATGTCAATGATCGACCAACGTATCGTCGACTGTGTGGCCGCCGTGGCTACGACAAACGGGGACCCAAGTAATCCGAACAATAATATGCACTTCGTTGATGGGTATAATCATGACCCGGATGGTCTGGATGATATGACCTGGAAGAAGCTCTATGCGTTGGCGACAGGGCCGAAGGGGTTTGAGGGGTGTCATCGGGCGCATTTCCTGGAGGAAGTTATCAGGCTTATTCCCGGGGGTGTGGTGAAGTTAGGGAAGAGGCTGGACCGGGTGGAGGATTATGGGGTGGGCAAGGTTTTATTGAGGTTTTGCGATGGGAGTGTTGGGAGGGCGGATGCTGGTGAGTTTGCATCAGTCTCAGGCCTTGAGCTTTGGTGTTGATATAGGTCCAGTTATCGGATGCGATGGGATCAAGTCTCGTGTGCGCGAGCTCATCCTGGGCGAAGGTAATCCCGCCTCCTATCCGCATTATACACACAAGGTGGCCTATCGAGGGCTAGTCCCCATGCAAGAAGCGACCGCTCGACTGGGTCACTACCGCGCGCACAACCAGCATATGTATGGCGGTCCGAACGCGCACGTCCTTCACTTTCCTGTTGCCAAGCAGACTCTAATGAACGTGGTGGCCTTCGTCACGGACCCCAATGACTGGCCTCTCGACCGCAGTATGTCGCAGCTGGCGACTAAAGATGAAGTGGCTGGTGCCTTTGCGGATTGGGGCCCGACAGTGAGAGCTATCATCGATCTACTGCCTGTTGAGTTGGAGAAATGGGGTGTTTTCGATTCTCTGGAATACCCTGCGCCGACTTACTCGCATGGACGTGTGTGTATCGCTGGTGATGCGGCTCATGCGTCGTCGCCGCATCATGGAGCCGGTGCTGGGATTGGGATTGAGGATGGATTGGCGTTGACTGTTTTGTTGGACATGGTGCAATCACGTATTAAGACTCCAGGCGGACGGAAGACTGTGGCTCTCCAGGCCGCGTTTGCGGCGTTCAGTGCGGTGCGTCGTGAGCGGTCTCAATGGTTGGTGAGAAGTAGTCGTGAAGCTTGTGAGATCTATGAGTGGAATTATCCGCACTGTGGCTCGGATATGGACAAGGGGTATGATGACATCAAACGGCGGTCTCATAAGATCTGGCATTTTGATATCGATGGTATGTTGAGACAATTGGAAGTAGAGTATAGAAGACATTTCGGAGCGTGATGAAACTCCAAGAATTGAGGAAATGGAATAGAAATTATACATGATTTTCGCTTCACCACTTCTTTTTTACATGGTCGCAGAATTCTTGCATTTTGTGGAAGCATCTCGTATGTACTACTGATCCAGTTATATATTTATATTTCATGCATAACGAGGGTAACAACTACAATGCAAAACGGAAGCAATTACCTGGTTTTTTTCTTCATAGTAACTCTAGAGCTATCTATGCAACAGCAAGGCCTGAGTTTGGCTTTATAGAGGCGTAGGTGTAGTATTGGACAAAAATGAACTCATTGAGGCGTGCCACGAAGGAATTTGAGGAAATCAGGAGACAAAGGAAAACAAGATACCCAAGGCCTTAGCGTGATGCCTTGACGGTATACAAAGCATGTTAACTTATGCCCAGGATTTTTCCTAGGACCGGACTCTGCGTGAGGTCGAAAGCCTGTCTGATATATTTCTCGTCTAACGAAAACGGTTGCGCCATCAGGTTAGGAATATATTTCCCCTCTAGCTCCTCTGCATCTATATTTCCCGCTAGAAGTCCTGGCCGGAGTAGACATTGTCGGAACATGTCCACTGTTGAGCGCAGATGACTGGAATGGAAAGGCACGTCGATGCCTTGCAGGGGAATCGTTGCTTGGCCGCGCTGCAGTTCAATTGGTAGAGGAAGGGTCTTGGCATGATGCAGGAGGTCGCGGATCACTCGGTGGAGCTCCGTCGTAGACGCGTCGGTGGAGTCCATCATCTCCTGAACTTGCTTTGCTCCACTGTGGCACTGTGCGATATGGTCCATCAGTTTGCCGAGGACGTAAAGATTGGTTAACTGGGGATCGCCATGTTAGAGTCGAGCGAATCATCGGGGAAAATGATGGCAATTTACCGTGCCCGAACAGACATACTGCTCCCCATCCACGTTCAAATTCACGATCTCCAACAATTGCCGGCTCTCAGCAGCAATCGTGCGAACCACGGTGCTCAATGAAGCTTGATCAAAAACTGGGTTGGTCAGCTCTCCCCGTGGCCAGATACCACATTATGCACAAAGTACCTACATTTACCCACACGTTCTGGATTCGCAGCCACCATACCATACGTGGCGCTCTCTCCACGATCTCGTTCCACCGACGCTGCATCATCAACCCCCGGTAGAAAGCTAATTCTACGAGGGCAAGAGTTGGTATAAACTTTGACAGTGCAGAAAGTGCCCCGTATTCCCCCAAGGAATGTCCGGCATATACCGCCTCGCGTGATACATAGCCTTTGGCACGCATTTCTGCAAAAGCTGCCGCTTCGAACAGAAGAATCGTCGGTTGTGCAAATTGTGTCGAATACAAGAGCCCCCTAGGATCATGGAATGTGTAAGACGCCGACTCTGCTGTGAGCCCCGCCAGAACTGGCTCTTGCACTCGGTCACCATTAGGAAGCACTCTTTCCGCTGTGATGGAGAGGTAATTTCCGCGGATCTTCCGGCCATGTTTGCCCCCAAAGCGAATGGTGAGAGTCTTTGGGTTGTTCCTGGCGATGTCCAGAACAGACCAGCCTATTCATTTCGTAAGTGGAACCGTGCGGACAAGCACAGTATGAAACATACCATAAGCGTTGTATATATGCGCATCAATCTCGTCCCACAACTCCTTGGCACTTGAGCTCCTATTGTATAACTCCATACCCATACCTCTACTTTGACTACCTTGACCAGTGAAGAGGTACGCTATTGCAGGCTGTTCCACTTCGGCCTCCGCAGTCATCACCTTCTCTCCGTTCCCAGTTCGGCATGCTTCTATAACAAATCGCATTCTCCCTTCAACCATTCCCACATGCTCTAGTCGTACTGCCAACCTCTCTGAAGGCATTACCATTCCCAAAAACTCAGTGGAAAAACTTCTCAGGCGTGCCCGATCACTCTTCAAGACCAAGTGCTCAAGAACCGCAGTTACAATCGCTGATGTGCACATGCCATGGGACAACGTGCCCGGCAGTTGGGCAAAGTTAGCAAAGATGGTTGAGACATGAATAGGATTGAAATCTAGAGACACCTCAGCGTAGTCCTGGTTACTGGCAGGCATTTGAATTTCAAATGACGATGGGCCCGACCAGCCAGGGCTCCCAAAGTTTATTCTGCCTCCTTGTGCAGTCCCTTTGCGTTCAAGGAATTCTGAAACCGGGTTTCCATGACAGTCATCACATACGAAATGAACATCTCCTATATGTTCGAATTTGTAGCCTGTCCGGCAATGTACCTGGCCAGTGACTCGAAGTTTTGTACGCGCGTTTTCCTTATACGTAACGTGACTCTCGACATTGAAAACCACTGTCTTGCCTACCAGCGAAGGTAGAGCGGCGACTGGATGAAACCACATTCGCTCTTTTAGCACCATCTCCTCTGACCTCGATTGCACGTTTACCGCCCAATCGCATAACTTTGTTTTTCGAAAGGTGTTTTTGACATTGCGAAATGAACCTCGGAAAAGAAACGTTGACGTTACTGTCAACACATGCTTCCCAGAGCGAATAATCCGCGCTTCTATAACCACAACCTTGCCTGAATCCTCTATATAGACAGCCTGAACCTGAGATTGGGAGCTGACTGTTTCACCCAACCTGAGAGGCCTGACGCCATGAGTGTATGCAGTCGTGTTAGATCGATGAACTAGACGAAGTAAATCACCTTCAATATCCATGAGAAGAAGGGGACGGCATATGACGTCCCAAGCGATAATAATGCCAACGCTAATAGGCAAAATTTCTGAATCTGATGACACGATCCGATGGTCGGGAAACGCTGCACCGACGGTCAAGGCCAACCCCTCGAACCGCTCGCGGGCCAGCTTCATTGGATGCCCGTCAAATAGACTGTACAGACCAATATTGCTGGCTGTGGTCTTACTAAGCCAGATTGCACTATAGAATGACTTGATACGCTCGTTCCGGCCTTCCATGATCTCGCTCAGTCTGAAGGGAGCCCTGCTAGGATCAAATTCGTACAGTAACTGCAAATTCTGTGCTTTGTATGGAGGATGAAGTTCGACAATAACCTCCGCCCCATTCTGACATGTGATTGTCATCGAAGATTTGATGTCCAGACTGTCTTGAGCCACCACAGATATCTCTAACCGAGCGGGATTGTACTGGATAGCGGATTTAGGGTATTTCTCGACATACTCGCGAAAAGGATTCTTTTGCCGCAGTCGGCCCTGCAAGACAAATTTATCTTCCAGAACTGCCCGTACCCAAGCGGGAATGTTTCGATCGGGACTGTAAGGCAATGTCAATGAACACACGCATGGATCATCACTGGCGTCCGAGAGTGTTGTGGAGCATGGAGTAGAGATTTCCTCCATAAAAGAGTCCTTAGTACCGGGCGAGACTGTGGACCAGGAATCTGGTGTAACTAAGCCACTATCAATCCCGATAGTCAATTCCTCTGCACACATATCTCGTTGGAAGCGGTCGCTGAGAGAAAATAGCAGAGTATCCAGAATCTCCTTTGCCGATTCTCCTCGATCACATGAAAACTGCGCTGCCACAGGGCCCTGAAGAATGCATACTCGGCCTGGATCATGACCAATCACAGCGTCAATATCCTCCGATTGCCATAGCGAGTCCTTCTTGAAATAGTACTCAAAATCGTCGTTCAGGGTGGGTATGAAGTTGACAGGCTTTTGATTTTCCTTTTTGGTTTGCATGAGGAAGAACGAGACATCCTCCGGATTCAAGACTTCTGAAACTGCAGCGGGACACGCAGTGCTAAACACACGAGCAAAGCGGGTTGGGTGAAGCTCAAGTAATTCTCGAGAAAGATGCTCTGAATTATTCAACTCAGCTGGCAAGCGTTCGAAGGTACGGGCGGCGAATGCGAATGTGAAATCCACATAAGTCGAGTCGATCCAACGCTTTTGATGACCAATATACATTAGTTCCACCAGCCGATTTATTACCTCAGTGTAGGTCATTTCGTTCAAGTCGATTACAGCCCCTTGTGAGTTGCGACCAAACCATGGCTTCGCAAAGTCGGCATTCAACCGATGAATTATCATAAGACGATGTTTGGTCAAATATGTGACACGGTCTTGCCGGGGGAGACTGAAAACAGTCTTATCCATTTCAGCCCACAGGCGCACGCCCCTAGTTGCTATTTTATGTATTGGCTCGCCCATTTCCGACTGCACTGTAATTATTCCCCCAGCAGGCCCAGCATATGTCTTTTCCCAGTCATTGTCGTCCAATCCGGGTGTCGACGTGATGACATCTTTGACGGCTTTGCTTGTATGAGCCTCATTCGCAACCATCATGCAAGTACCCAAAAGTACTCCATCAAATGGCATGGACGCATATCCCATCGGAACTGACCATAAGCCTGTAAGGTATGGATAGATGCTACCGCTGCTACCGAACCCACTGCCAGCCACCAAATAAATGTTCGATTGTTGCCGTATTAGTCCGTACATATTCAGCATGACAGCATGGAAGTCTTCACGAGAGTGATGCCCTCCTCCACGACCACCAGTCCATTGAAGGATAACTGGAAAGTCGGGGTGAGCCCTGGCGATACTAATCACATCCCGGATGGCCGCCATTGACCCAGGCTTGAAACCGATATGTCTCAAATTTAGCGTCTGTATGTACTCTGTGATGACTTCTAGCGAAGGGACACCGGCTCCAAAAGTCAAGCCGTCGATTACGACACCATCATGCGATAAGCGACGTAAAAGTGGGATCTGCCATCTGACAGCACGAGGGTTGGCGTAAATCAAGTTACAGGAGATGCCTTGTCCGGCGGGAATATTCTTGACTAACTGATCGATGGCTGACGCCATGCGGTCGGCACTATGGTAACCTCCACCGGCCAGCTCGACGTGATAACCTGCATTCATGATGGCTGCAACAAAGTCCCAATGCATCGTAGTGGGTGTCATACCAGCAACCATAATTGGAGGGGCACCCAAAAGCTGCGTGAGACGTGTTTCAATCTTAATCTTTGTTCCCGGGGCTAGTCGTGGTTGGAAGCGCTGGCCCCAAGTTTGGAGCCTAGTCGCGGAATCAAGTAACAAGGGAGAGAATAGATCCTTCATGGTTCCCACCTCGGGATCCCGGGAATCGAGATCAGACCCTTGAATTACGCGAATCCCCTGACCCTCTTTAACCTTCTTCACCAATGAACCAAGACCACCCCGGTCAAAAACAATAATGTGTGACACAGGAGGACGGCGAGCACTGATGTTGGGTGAACAGGCCATTGCAGCACGCCAGTCGCAGATGTCATGGGCAATAGCATCAAACGCCAAATGCAGGATATTCCCATCATAAGCACGGAGATCATGACCAGTCCTAGTGTCGAATACCGGGATGGCTAGTTGCTGGGGGAGGATCCGTCTTTCTGAAAATCGTTTTCTCAAGGATTCTACAGCAGGACGAAGATATGGCGTATGGAAAGGTGTGCTGATTGGCAGGAAGTTAAGCTGGAGAAATGGCCTTCTGCTGCTGAATGGGATTTGGCTCCGATTTATGGCAGAGGTACTAACCTCTTGAAGGTAGCTCCTAAGATGTAATAATGATGAATTTGGACCGGCAACAACGAATTGATCTTGAGCATTTGCCAACGCCAGATACAACTTCGAATCTTGGCTCAAGTGACGGTTCATGTGGGCCAGTATATCCTCAACTTGGCATCGTGTTGCCCCTCGAATACTGAGCATGTATAGATGGGTGTCGAGATCCACGTCATTTTCTTCACTTCTCGTGGACCTTCTAGGGATTGTAATTTGGGGCGCGCAATTATGACACTCCCATCCCAACCAGAACAAGACATCCACTAATAAGCTGCTATTGTCGTAAAGCGACTCCCATGTGTCCGATATGGCAACAACAATTGATACCAAAAGACCCTGAGAATGCCCCGTGGTGGCAGAAAGCAGTGTTCGCAGCTTTCCGGGCGATATCCCTAGTATCCGGCAAGTAACGATGTATCGAGCGAGACTCAACAATCCGATCACAGGTACGCTAACAGGGGCACTGGCCACGAAAGCACTATTAGGTACCACAGCGGCGTCGGCCATCCAAGCCTCGATGTCCAAGTATCGTCGCTGATAGTATGAGCGACACTTTGGCAAGCGGGACAGCTCGGCAAGTCTAGACCCCATTCTTCGTAGAAAGTCCTGGAGTATCGACTGGTATGTGTTGTACAGTTCGGAAAGCTCCTTCACACACGTAGGACTCGCATCCCCCTGGCCTCCAAACAGTGCCATTACTTGAAACTGACTGGTCTCAACATTGTGGAAAAATCTACTTCTGGTGTAGACCACACCCTCAACACCATCCTCAACCCCGTTTTCCTGTTTAAGATCGACAGCATGATAGTATATACGCAACCACCGCTGTCGTTTCTCTGATCTCGACGTTACCTCCGCGATGAGAGAATGAATGTCTATTCTTCCAAGAAATTCATTGTCGAATGCCTCCAAGAGCACCGCCCAAGCTGCACCCGTTATCTCTTTCTGAAGGAGGAGGAATTCGATATAGGCTAGCGCCAATTCGACAGGGTGCTTGATATCGTCGGTGCCAGACAGTGAGATTGAGCGAAGAAACGCATCTCTCTGTAGGGCATGGAAGGAAGAGAAGGTACTTGGAACGGTGAGAGAAAGAATTATGTCCCTATGCTGAAATTCCACGTTGAAACTGATACTGGAAGACGATAGGACGGTGTGGCGCATTAAGGGAGGCTCTATGGCGGCAGTTGCTGCGGAGTCAGGTGACAGGGGAGCAGTCATCTCCTCCATCATCTTTACCCTTGTATCCATCTCCTTTCCACACGATCTGTCGGCGTAAATGTTCGATCGATGTATTATCGCCTATTGCCACAATTATACCGCCCTTGCCCTACCGGAGCAACACATGAAAAAGGCTCGTGCACGGCATGGAAAGATGAGACTAAGGCAATTATATCTGCGATACTGGAATGGATAAGCCCGCTACCAATTTGTCAATGGACCTGATTTTGGTGAGTTTATACCTACACGTTCGGCAGTGTGTTGAATAAATGAATCAATTGCAGTTTGAAATCAGTCCATGAGGGTGCGGAGATTCCCCTGGCTGTGGAAGAATGTCAACCGTAGTAGAGAAGCTCCAGTTGATATAACTTGCTCTCTCACTCGCCGCCGGAGTTTCACAGACGGAGTTTTTCTTTGTATCACCCACTTCACACTATTGCCCGTATCTTTAAGAATATCCATGCTTTATCTGTGTATCAATCGCATTGGAGTAGGTATATCTACGAGTCAGGCCGAAAGATCAAAATTCACTGGAACAGTTGAATCCTGCCCTGAAGCGATGCTCATTGTCGAGCTATGAGAGCCACTCGTATGGGAAATTAGTTATACTCTGTTCTATCCTACATGGGAAGTCTGTGTTTATCCTGTGGAACTAGAGACTGCTGGTTTTGAGACTGGTCCTGTGTGTCGACCCTTTCGCTATGATCAAGCACTCGAATATGATCATGGATCCGATGTCAGCTGGGCACTGTCAGAAGAAAGATAGAAATCAATTAGCATTTAAATTGCTTATAGAGCTGCTCTCGTGAGTTCTCCAACTGATCTAGTTTTCTGTTTATACTAAGTGGGCAGATATCAACTAGCATATCCTGTACGGTGGTAAGTCTAGTCAGCGTTTAGTGCTGTCCCATGCTGATTTTCCTAGGATCGAAACTCAACATGAATTGATTACTGGCTGCCCTCCAATATGCCGCTTCGTTGAAATCGGTCCGCGTACTACACTTGCCACTATGGCCAGAAAATCCGCTACTAGATACTACAAGTCTTATGCGACTTCGCAATGGTCGCATCTACAGTTTCTCTCCTATCAGGACAACAAAGACGAGATCTTGTATAATTATTCAACCTCTAATCCATGGTCGGACAAGAAAGATAGGGCAGGACAGTTGACTTCTCACGATGTATCTTTGCTACCTTTGTCCCCTGGCTCTCAACGGGAACCACAACAATGTGTTCCGCCTAAAGCGCCTCTCTCAAAGTCTTCACCCAGTCTTGACGTGGCTCTATCAAGTAGCCATATTGTCCTTGCTATGACAGCTCAAAAACTACGACGACCGTTTGATAAAGTTTCCATGGGAAGGACTATCCGCGAATTATCCGGTGGTATGGCTATGCTCGTTCAACCAATGAATTGTGGCTAACTAACTAGGCAAATCCACACTACAAAATGAGCTAGTAGGAGACTTTGTCGCTGAATTTGGCAAGGTGCCAGAGGAAGCTGAAGATATGACCCTGGTTGCATTGGGAGAAGCGCTGGAAGGTGCTTTTGTCGGAAAGCCAGCCAATCAGATGACCACTCTAATTGCTAGGTTAATATCAAGAAAGATGCCCGCTGGATTTAACCAAAACTCCATGCAGGATTACATATGCTCTCGCTGGGGCTTTTCCAAGACACACTGTCTTGTTCCCATCTGCCTTGCGACTACTATTGAGCCGCCCGCCCGTTTAGCAAATGCAGATGCTGCACAGGCGTATCTTGATGAGTTAGTCAGCCGGTACGCGCTGTTTCAAGGGATTTCTCTGGCTTCTGCCGATGGCCTATATAGCGACAGGAGCGAAGCTATGCCGCCTCCTGGGGGCTTTTCGAACCAGGAGATCCTTTATAAAGAGCAGCACAGCTATCACCGTAAGCATTTTGATAAACTTGCGAAGTATCTGCAGATAGACCTCGAAGCTTCAGAACAATCGCCGCTGGACACAACTTATCAAGAAACATTAAAGAGGTGGAACGCTGAATTTGATGACCAGTTTTGTCAAGGTATAGAGTCAATCTTTAATACCAGCCAGTCTCGAAACTACGACTCTTGGTGGAACTGGGCGAGAGAAGGACTTATACAATGGTTACACCAAATTGCTTCAGGCCAGGTAGAGGCGGCTCTGCCAACGAAAGGCAACCACCTACGCAGGATGCTGAACCGGTGGGATGCGACGTGTAGTAACATTATCGAGGCAATTATCAAACCGCCCCACCCTATTTTATGTCCAAACCAGACGATTTATCCTTGTTCAGATGTCTCACTTGTGCTAAAAGAGGTTCTTCGTTTAGGAAACCTTGCTCTGGCAAGTGATCCCATTTATATCTACTCATCGCCAGCCTTAGGCCCGCAAACCACAGTCAGCAGCTCAGGCCAACTGGACTATATGGAGATAGCCCGGAAAGCGTCTTCCTATCCGGACGTGTACGCCGAGGACGTTTATGTGCCGATGACCTCAAAAAAGAATTCCTTTTGTTCATCTTAAGTCTCGAAAAAATGAAAGTGGGTGGGAATATGACGTGGACGCTACCAGGATATTCCATTCAGTTCTAGGCACCGGAACTACTACTGGCTTCAGCTATGCCAGCAAGACTGTTTTAGTAACAGGGGCTGGCCCTAACTCAATTGGAGCACAGGTCGTCCAGGGCCTTTTATGTGGTGGTGCTCAGGTGGTCGTCACCACAAGTCGGACTATCTCGGAAAGCGCGAGCTTTTATCAAAATATATACCGTCAGTATGGCGCTAGAGGAGCGTCCTTGACAGTCCTTCCAATGAACCAGGCGAGCAAACGGGATTGTGAATACCTGATTGAGCATATATATGGTGTTAATTCCCCTATAGGCGGCGACCTAGACTATGTCATACCATTTGCTGCTGTTCCCCAAGCGGGTGAATTGGATGCATTGGGAAGTCATCAGGAGCTAGCACTTAGGACTATGCTGGTCAATCTCCTACGGACCATCGGATTTATTCGGCAGCAAAAGGAGAAACGACGCATTAGCTGTCGGCCAACAACGATTGTTCTGCCCATGTCATGTAACGAAGGCTCCTTTGGCGGTGATGGCTTGTATGCGGAGTCAAAAGCTGGTTTGAAGACGCTCCTGAACCGCTTCCACTCTGAAGGCTGGTCAAGTTGCATCACCATTTGTGCAGCAGTTATGGGTTGGACAAGAGGCACCGGTCTTATGCGCTCGTCCAACTTTATAGCAGAAGAAGTGGAGAAGCTGGGTGTTGTTACGTTCACACAGGCTGAAATGGCATTTAACATCCTCGCGTTGATGACACCTGAAATCACTATACTTGCTGAGCAAGCTCCAGTTTACGCAGATCTCACCGGAGGGTTGGGTAAAATGTGGGACATCAAAGACCATATTTCAGCAAGTCGTAAGCGTCTTGCCGAAGAGGCGCAGATACAGAAGGCCCTGCATGAAGAAGACGCCCATCATTATTCAGTGCTCTTCGGACCACAAAAGCAGCAGCCAGGAAACTCTGGGCTTAATATTAGCAGGCGGCGCGCCTTTCTCAAACTTCCATTTCCATCTCTACAACTCTATGATGACTTGGCAGTGAGCTTGCCCAATCTTAAAGGGATGATAGATCTCTCGCGTACTGTCGTCGTGGTAGGGTTTTCAGAGCTCGGGCCCTGGGGAAATTCACGCACTCGGTGGGAGATGGAACACCAAGGCCGGTTTAGCTTGGAAGGCTACATAGAAATGGCGTGGATAATGGGATTAATAAATCACATTGATGGCGATTGGAAAGGCCGATCTTACGTTGGCTGGGTCGATGCAGAGACACAGGAGCCAATACATGATCATGATATTCCCCAAAGATATCATGAGTACATAATGTCAAACGCGGGTCTACGTCTTATTGAGCCGGGGGGCGTTGACACATACATTCCCTCTCAGAAAGAATTCTTGCAGGAAGTGGCTGTCGAAGAGGACCTTCCACCTTTTGAATGTTCAAAAACATCCGCAGAAGCCTTCAAACTACGGCACGGCAGTAATATCACGCTGCAGCCTATTACAGGGTCTGATAACTATCGTGTGTTTCTCAAGAAGGGTGCAGTTCTACTGATTCCCAAAACAGTCCCCTTCCATCAGTCCGTAGCAGGGGTAGTCCCTACTGGCTGGGACGCTTTACGTTATGGCATTCCTGAAGAGATCGTACAACAGGTCGATAAAACCACACTATACGCTCTTTGCTGTGTCTCAGAAGCTTTTCTATCTGCTGGTATCAGCGATCCGTACGATATCTACCAACACATTCATGTTTCTGAGCTAGCAAACTGTTTGGGTACAGGAGGCGGGCCCATGAAGATCATTCAGAATATGTATCGGGATCGATTTCTCGATCGTCAAGTACGGGGCGATATCATACTGGAACACTTCCTGAACACAATGGGTGCATGGGTCAACATGTTGCTCTTGTCTGCTTCCGGGCCCCTTAAGACCCCCGTCGGTGCATGTGCTACCGCCTTAGAATCCTTAGATATTGGCTGCGATGCTATTATTTCCGGCAAGTGCAAGGTAGCTATAGTTGGTGGCTGTGATGACTATCGCGAGGAGCTATCGTTTGAGTTTGATAGTATTAAAGCTACAGCCAACTGTGCAGAGGAGCTGTCCAGAGGAAGACTTCCCAGTGAGATATCTCGTCCAACAGCCAGCTCACGCAGTGGTTTCGCTGAGTCCGCCGGCTGTGGTGTACAACTCTTAATGAATGCTGAACTGGCCCTCAAGTTGGGCCTGCCAATACACGGAGTTGTCGCGTATTGCCAGATGGCTAGTGACCAGGTCGGCCGCTCCATCCCTGCTCCTGGCAAAGGCATTCTAACTGCCGCGCGTGAGAGTCACGAGGCTAAAGTATCTCCAATGTTAGATTTTGGTTTCCGTCGCGTAGGCTTCGATGAGGAGGTGGCGGATGTCGAGCAAAGGTTTGTCAGTGGACAGCTCAGGAAAGCACAGGGTTCAGGCACCCCCGAGGAAGCAGCAGAACAATTCAGGAGACTGAGAGTTCGCGATGCCCAATATCGCTGGGCTCACGACATTCGTCTCCAAGACCCATCAATATCTCCACTCAGGGCAGCCTTAGCCACTTGGGGCCTAGGAATTGACGATATTGGTGTCGTCTCGACGCATGGAACATCAACCAAGGCAAATGACATCAATGAAGGCGAAGTGATCAACGCCCAAATGGAACATCTGGGCCGCCGCAAGGGAAATCCATTGCTCTGTGTATGCCAGAAGTCATTAACCGGGCATCCAAAGGCCGCAGCGGGGGCGTGGCAGCTGAATGGTTGCATGCAGATATTGCAGGGTGGAATAGTTCCAGGAAACCGAAACGCAGACAATATTGACCAGCAATTGCGACAATTTGAACATTTGGTATACCCTATGGAGTCAATCCAGACAACAGGGGTCAAGGCAACCATGATAACGTCTTTCGGTTTCGGGCAGAAAGGTGCCATCGCCATTATTGTAGCACCTAGCTACCTTTTTGCGTCCATCTCTGCGTCAATGTATGAGAAATACAGTATGAGAGTGACGCAACGACAGCGAGCTGCTAATCCAATGTTTGTCTCTCGCATACTAAATAACCGTATCGTGCAAGTAAAGAGCCTCCCACCATGGGAGAACCGAGACGCGACGGAAAAGGTCTTTCTGGACCCAGGCAGCTGTCGGCAAGATGACCAGACGCAGCTTACTAACGAAGCACATGCTAGCCCGTCGAGTTCGATCAACGTTATCGCCGATCACACCTCGCGCACAGTCGAGAACCAGGATGAAGGAAACGCCCTATCTTGCCTTGTTGAAGGCATGCTCGTAGAAGCAGTCGGGAGATCCAAAGGCACTTCACCCCCAAGCGTGGGAGTTGATGTAGAAGAAATCGCCAGCATCAGTATTGAGAACGAGGCGTTCTTAAAGCGCAACTTCACTATGGCTGAACGTGAGTATTGTTCGAAGGCCACCAATCCTCAGGCCTCGTTTGCAGGTCGATGGAGTGCCAAGGAGGCAGTGTTCAAAAGTCTTCAGACTTCCTCCTCGGGACCCGGGGCTGCAATGCACGAGATTGAGGTCCTCAACCACTGTGGCATCCCTAAAATCACCGTAAGTTTTGTTATCTTTCCGATGTGGACGTGCTGACGCTTTTTAGCTTCATGGGCAAGTCAAGGATATCGCCCAAGCCAAGGGGATAGATAGTGTTGAGATAAGTATCAGTCATTCAACCAATGCAGCTGTTGCAATTGCTGTGGCCGTGAAAGGTTGATAGAAGCGCATTCAATGTATCTTCTGGTGGATGATACAAGAAGATTAGTTAGAACTTGATTTCGTAGCATTGATAGTTTTTATGCCAAACAGCTATTCTATGACCACATCTGCAAAGTAGCTTCATCACATTTATTAATCATAATACTCTACTTACTCAACAGTTACAGTCCAATATTAAGAATATTTATTTACTCCAGCCATCTATGTACCTCTAACCACAACACCAAAAATATACATAAATACATTAAGATCTCGAGTCTTCATATCATAACGAACACCCGCAATGCCAGTAAAGATGGCAATCAACAAACATGCCGGCCATGAAGAGATGGTAGACAGGTATCTCGGCAAAGGAGATCGCTGGTCAAGTAACATCGCATCAATCGCCAATCCGAACCAACAAGCAAGCCTTAAGGCCTATTAAGCTGCTCACGACGATAGAACAAAAGGAAGCCCCAACTACAACCCGCATTAGTAATGAGTTTCATGAAAGGGGGGTGAATGCAAAGGCTTACCTAGCCAGAAGCTGGAAGAAGAGCGCAATCCAGAACCACGCATTTCCAACTGTATCTAGAGAGGTGCCCACGTTCGGAGAGATACTCGCGGGACCGAGCTTGTTCGGCGCGAATCCACGTGCGCAGATCGTGGCGATGGATCCGAGAGCCTGTGCGGCCAACAGGACGAAGCAAACGTGCACTCGTGTCAGGGTTTGCAGGAGGATCATACCCAGACCGACTTGCTGGATTTCGTCGAGGACGCCGAGCCAGAGCCAGACGCATCTCGACACCAGGGCACCGGATGTTAGGCTTCCGGCCCACGGCAGGTAGTAGCCTATGTTGGAAGTTCCCCACCATGTCTGGGCCCAGCGCGGTGCGCCGAGACTCAGGCCGAAGACGGGGAGAATCCAGCTGTGCTCCTTGGACAGAGCGCGGAAGATGATGAGGATAAGTACCCAGAGTATGACGAAGAAGAAGATGACCAAGATTACGATCTCCCATGTTTTGGCGTGTTGAGAGGTCCAGAGGAATGACCAGTTGCGACCGAATGCTGCGGAGAGGAACCAGTTCTGAACAATTACCATGAAGAAGAACCAGAGGACGATGCGGCGGCGGAAGAGGGACGTGTAGAAGAAGAGAATCCTACCAGGGGATTGGCGGTAGTATTTTGGTAGGCCGAGTGCGAGGAGCACGCCGACTATGAAACATAGCGCGGCAATGGGCATCACCACAGCTGTGAGTCTCCATGAGTTCAGGGCAGCGGTGGACACGCCTCCCACTTCTGCCTCAGTCACCTTGGAACTCCAGTACCATAAGGCGACGGTGTAGAGCTGCTGAATTCCTTGAATGAGACTTGCGCGGAACATCCAATCCTTTATAGGTACGGCACCCTGGTCACCAAAGTTGAGGGCGAAGAAGAGCGATCCGCTAGAGGACGCGGCAGAGTAGACACCCGCAGCAACATTCTGGGCCCAGGCTCGACCAAGGGGTGTGAGAGCGAATGGAGAGACACCAATGATAATGAAGGCCATGCAGTATATGAACCAGGGGAGAGTGAGAACGATTACTGACGGGAAGCGATAGAAGAGGAGCCACCAACAGATAGAGGAAATACAGTAGATCGCTGCGATAATGTACAACTTGGTTGCCGTTTCTCCTACCTGGCCGACCAACAGGGTCATTTGAGCGGAGTTGGTCGCGATGATTTGTCCAAGACCCAGGAATAGAGCGTAAACAGGCCATTTCCCGAGGCGCCGTCTCATGAATCTCTGAATAGCGATAGGCCGCTTGTATCCCAGGCGAGAGAGCCATTGGTCGATCTCATCTGGATCATTCGAGTCCGAACCTCCATTGGCACTGGGGTACGAGGCACGGTTATCTTGAGTGTCCGAGTTCGTGTCAGATCCTGCACGATCATCGGGCTGCTTCTTTAGCTGTGCATCGTTGTACATGTCGTAGAATTTACGCTCGCTCTTCATTAGGTAGGTCTCGATACAGCAGTCTGTCATTGAGTTCTTCTTGTTCAAGTCGTTGAGGATCTCTTCGAAGCGTCGCGTGAAGTGGCGTGTGCTGTCTGTAAAGGTTGGGTCAACCTTTTGCAGCTCGAAAACTGGCTGGTTGTGGTCCGCCACGACTGAAGGCAAGGAAAGCATGGAGACATTGCGGGAATGAGAGAAAGGAGTATTTCCACCGGAACCCAATGCGAACTGGAATGGGTATTGAGGCAACCCCGGGGTTCCCGGCATGGGAGAAGAAGCCCGCGACATGTTGTTTGGTGAGCCTGGCACTGACATGTAAGAAGATCCTTGAGGACCAGCGAGCGAGTGAGTACTGTTGTTCGTGTGGGCGGTTCCGATATCCTGGGATCCCAGAGTGTTGTTCACTGCAGCCATAGCCTCCTCAGGGGAAATATAGTTCACCTGCGGCGTAGCGGTGCCGTCTTCATCGGCATCCGTGTTCTCACCATCCAACTCCTCGCCGAGAATCTGGCTCTCGCGCGGTGGGCTCTTGCCGAGGCGTTTCCTGCCCTGACCAGGTCCAGATCGCCGACCGAGAGAGAGTTTGCGGCCTAGACTACTGTTCCTGCTGCCATCAGCTCCCTCTAACTGCAATTCAGTAAATCGAGACTGGCCGGGCGTCAAAAGCTTTCCTGGCGGCGTATCCAGCCCCTCTGTTATCGGCTGGGTAGGTCCTGGAAGGCCCAGCGTAGACATCCGCATGCTTTGCGTCTCCCAGTAGTTCTGCGACTCTGGCATCGGGCCTGTCACGGTGTTCTTGTTCTTTGTGTGATGGATTTGGATCGCCGTTCGCTGCAAGGCTTCGAGCTTCTGGATCCATTCAAGAACAGGGAAATGCTGCCTGACTGAATTGGCGCGCATCTCCTCCCGAGTTTCCTGTGATGAGTCCAAAGCTTGTTTGATAGCAGTCTTCAACTGGTGCAAAAGATGGCGGGTTGCGTCGGACTCCACGGTGTACCACCAACCAGGCATTTGGCCTAAGCCTCCGATGCGAGAGCCGATTCCCAGTGCACCTTTACGACCGAATTCCACAGCAACCAACCCAAATGGCTCGTCTCTGGAGGGGATCAGGGCGAAGTCAGCACCGGAAAACACATATGGAGGCAGAACGGTGAACTCTGGCTTAGAGAACACGCGACCAGGGAACATTTCCATGATGCGCTCCAGCTTTGTTGCGGCCAGCCGACCGTAGAGATCGACAATAGGTCCAACGCAGATCAATTGTACGTGGGGTCTGGCGGATAATACTGCTGGCATGACATCTGCAATCAAATCCACACCCTTCTGCTTCGACCATCGTCCAACGAACACTAGTAAGTCAGCGTTGCGGTCTTCATTCAGACCAGCCCACTTTTGCGCCTGTAGCTTGTCATTGATTCGTTCTTCGTAGGACTGGATTGGGACTTCGGTATCTGGGTTATTTGCTATATCTCCTGTGTCGGAGGGATCTGGGTTTGGAAGACTGCCAATCTTTTCAAGACTCCAGAAAATCGGGTATCTAGCCCATGAGCGCTTTCCATACTTCTTGGAAACACCTACCGCGCCAAAGCCGCGTTGGTAAAATCGCACATAGCTAGCACCGGTGTGAAGAAGGTTGAAAACGTTTCCAAATTGACTGTACTTGGTTGCAGTTTCGACGGGGAGGTTGAAGACCGAACAAACTTCCTTTTTCTCCTGGGGATTTCTCAGGGGCCAGAGGCCCTGGAATTCAGCATTATGCAAGGACAAGCACACTGGGATAGTACGCGTAGGTAACAAATACAGCGGTGCTAAACAACCATGGAAATCGTTGATATGATAAAGGTCGATGGAAGGGAATCGCTTGATAGTTTCTGCGATACACTGATTCCATGCCGAATAGTAAATTGCACTGTCAAGATCGTCCATGCGAGGAGGATACGGCTCTGCTTTAGTTTGCTGCCGGAAAACGGGAGCATCAAGCAGGACATAGGTGATGTTCTCAACTATATGGTATTGCACATTGATAAAGTAGGGCTTGTCTAGGATACTGACCACGAAAGGCTCAGATGGCGTGTCCTGAGGATATTCAATGTCACCAACACAAGGAACGACCCAGATAAGGTTTTGATGCTTCAGATTCTGGGACATAAGTTGTGCCATAACTCCTAGACCGCCGATCTTGACCTTGACCTTCCAGTCTTCGATGTTGTATTCCATAGTGGCGATCAACACTGTACGTCGTTGCTCCGGGGCTCCCGCGAGAGCAACGTCCATCGGTACATCCTTATCAGATATTGACTTATCCGAGTCGTCATCGCCGGAGAACTTTTCTCTGACCCTCCGCCAAAACAGAAGCGGTAGCTTATCTTCTTTAGCCACGTCACCATCGGTATTGAGCTTAACGCGGTAGAATGTCCTGATGAAGATGAAGATACCAGCAAACCCCATGAGAATTGGGAGGACCCAGAGAAGAATGTATAGCACGAGCTGAGCCCATCCAGATCCGACTGGAAGCATCTCATATCTCAGATTGGCGTCATTGAGAGTGATGGTCCAGCCAAGGTGCGGGAATGGAGGCAACTGCGTGATATTGATCACGTTGGATGAGAGGTAAGACGGAGGAAGTTTCTGAACTACAGATGAGTTGTCGACATCGCCATAGACCTCTGTAACGTCGGGCCGCCCATCCTTTAACATGCCCCACACACTCATCTGTCCTATAGCTGGCCACTCGTAAACGAAATCGTACTTCCAACGGTGCTCCTTGGTATCATATCTCATCTTGTTATCCAGTCCCGCATCGTAACCATATTGATTGAACGGACCGTTCCAAAAGAGGTTAGGGAATCTTCGAGCAACGCCATTCTCCCAGCCATGATCACCTTCCTGGATGTAATCACTACTAGCGGTGAGCCTTGAAAAGTACTGTACGCGGATATGGGTTCCCTTCCACTTCTGGGCGTCCGTTCCGGTCCACTCTGGAAAGCTGACGAGAGTGTTATCACCGGTATACGTTGTCCAGT